TCAGCTGCCACGGACAGAGGAGGGTTTGTTAGCCTGTCAACTGTAGAAAATAAGACCCGAGCATTATGACTGTTTTTGGTGATGATGTCAGAGAAGTAGGACCTCCTTGCACTCATCAGTTGTAAATTATAATTGTGAAGTTTCTCTTTATTGATGTCACAATGAACCTGGAAGTTTGTTTTTCTCCATCTGCACTCAGCTTTCCTACACTCTCTTTTTTCATTTTTCACCAGTGTGGAGTTTCTCCATGGAGACTTCTTCCTTCCAGAGATAACCTTCACCTTAATGGGAGCAATAGTGTCCATTACATTTAACATTTTAGCATTGAAGCTATTGACAAGCTCATTGACTGAACCTCCAGACAGGTCAGGTGTTAATGGGACGACCTGGTTAAAGATCTCACTACTGTATTCAGTTATACACCGTTTTGTGATCATTGCTGTTGATATATTTGTGTGTGCTGATATTTTACTTTCAAAGAAAACGCAGTAATGATCAGACAGGCCCACATCAGACACGGTAACCTTTGAAATGCTCAGGCCCTTGGAGATCAGTAGGTCAAGAATGTGTCCTCTATTATGTGTGGCCTCTGTTACATGCTGAGTCAGCACAAAGTTGCCCAGAGTGTTACTCAGGTCTTTAGTCCCTTTGTCCTGAGGGTTGTCCACATGGATGTTAAAATCCCCAACAATAATTACACAGTCGAAATCAACACAGATCACAGACAGCAGTTCACTGACATCATTAAAAAAGTCAGTGCAGTATTTGGGAGGCCTGTAAACATTAAGAAACACAACTTTGGCTGGGGCCTTCAGCTGTAAAGCCACATATTCAAAAGACTGAAAACTTCCAGGAGACAGCTGCTTACATTGAAATGATTCATTAAATAAGACAGCAACCCCTCCTCCTCTCCTGCTCACCCTGGCCTCACTGATAAAACTGTAGTTAGGAGGGGTCGTCTAGATGAGAACAGCTCCGCTGTTACTTTGGTCCAACCAAGTTTCAGTTAAAAACATAAAATCAAGGCTGTGCTCAGTGATTAAATCATTAATTAGAAATGTTTTCTCAGCTAAAGATCTAACATTTAATAAAGCCAACTTAAGTGTTTTAGAGGTATTATTATTATATGTTTACTATATTTAAAGATCTTTTAGAGTGCAGCTCTCTGTGTTTTGACCAGGCCACATGTCTCCTTCTGTCACCTAAAAGAACAGAAATTTTAAAACCTTGTAGTAAACAGGGTCCCAGCTTCTCCTGGGAAAAGTTACCACTGCCATAATCCTCGCAGCCCGGACCCTCCAGACATCACACATCAGACTGCTGAGACAGAGCATGAAGGTGTTAAGGAGGAACTAAGGGGGCAAGGCTGGGCAATGTAACCTCAATTGCTCTGTTGAGGGCGGGGCTCGATGGCAAACCTTTGGCTGCTCTGGTGGGGGGTTTATGGGGGACAAAAAGGAACTGGGCTGGGGGGTTGATCTGAGCCCAGCATTGACCCACTCCATCATCTCCTCAGTGAATTTCAGGTGTGGGGAGGAGGGAGTAAGGGAGGGGGAGGAGGGTGAAGGCCTGTCAGGGGTTCGGGGGAGTGGGGAAGGCACTCTTGCTGCAGCATTTTGGATTAACTGAAGGCTTTTCAGAGAGTTTTTAGGACTTCCTGATAATAGTGAATTACAGTCATCCAGACTAGAAGTAATAAATGCATGAACTAGTTTTTCAGCATCATTCTGAGACAAGATATTTCTAATTTTAGACATGTTGTGCAAATGGAAGAACGCAGTCTTACATATTTGTTTAATATGTGCATTGAAGGACATGTCCTGGTTTAAAAAATGACTCCAAGGTTCCTCACAGTGTTACTGGAGGCCAAGGTAATGCCATCCAGAGTAAGAATCTGGTTAGATACCATATTTCTAAGATTTTCAGGGCCGAGTACAATAACCTCAGTTTTATCTGAATTAAGAAGCAGAAAGTTAGCGGCCATCCAGGTCTTTATGTCTTTAAGACATTCCTGCAGTTTAACTACTTGGTGTGTTTTATCTGGCTTCATGGACAGATAGAGTTGGGTGTCATCTGCATAGCAGTGAAAATGTATGCTATGTCTTCTAATGATATTGCCTAAGGGAAGCATGTATAATGTTACATTTACATTTACATGCACAAATTGAAGTCTATTAGATAGATATGATACAAACCACTGAAGCGCAGTACCTGTAATACCCCACGTGTTTCCCACGAACTGAGGAGGAAGAGACAGTGTGTTTATATAACAGTGTTTAATACTGCAGGTTTCCCCAGTGTATAAGGTTGGGGAAACCTAAAAGTCACCTGAGACTGAAGAAGTGACTTGGATGAATGACGAAATGCTTCTCCCACTGAAAACGTTACATCCAGGTGAACAGAAACTACTTTTTAACTCTCAAGACATCATCTACCATTGCTTGTCAGGTTCTACCACAACTCTAATTCTGAAGTTTACCCATCCATCCATCCTCTTTTGCTTATCCTTTTCAGGGTTGCAGGAGACTGGAGCCAGTTCCAGCTACCATAACTTGAGAGGCAGGGTACGCCCCGGAGAGTTGTCTGTTTACTAATGATTTATTTTTCAGCTAAGCTCACAGTTTCCTCTGCTTCCTATTCTTGTACTAAGCCAGGTGAAACATGTCTTAGGTCTTTCTCTGTTAAGGTTTTAATCTGACCTGTACCAAGAAGAAAGGGAGGAAGAGGATTTTTCTTAAAATGAATGCAAGCAGCAGGACAAAATCAGTTAGCATTGTTGTTCCTGGAAATGTTTTCCTTGGAGAACACCTACATTAATATCATTTTATTAGTCAGCTAAACCACTGTCTCTTCCCCAAAATATTCCTGCATGTGTGATTGTTAATGTCACATCAGCATGAAAGAAATAGGAAGTAAGGGAAGGACAATTTTTCCAGCTTTTCCTTCCCTACAAGACATTCTCCATACCTGAGAGTGTCAAGTCTCCAGTGTGGATCCTTCAGTCCAGCCGACAGCAGCATCATTCCTGAGTCTCCTGGGTGATTGTAGGTCAGGTCAAGCTCTCTCAGATGGGAGGGGTTGGAGGTCAAAGCTGATGCCAGACAAGTACAGCCTTCCTTTGTGATCAGACAGTGTGACAGACTGTAGACAAAAAACAAACAAAACAGTTAGTCTGAAAACACTCTGCTGAACATTTGCTTTTGCTTTTCATTTTCTTCAAATACCATGACCCTAATGTATTCCATCAATTCAGTTCAAATTAACTATATAAAGTAGCAACTGATAAAAACAATAGTGTCAAGTTGTGAAGCCAGCAGTAGACTCCACAACATTACAGAGAACACCTGAACAATCTGACAATTTCCTTAGAAGGAAGAACTCCCTTTTAAGAAGACAAAGCGACAAGCGATTTTAAAAATGAAACAAACAAACAAACAAACAAAAAAAACCCCAAGAGAACAGAGAACCAAATACAAACACAAATTATAAGAGAGCACAGAAAACAGTTAATGACATGCAGTGGTGGAAGAAGAGTGAAATTATATTGTGAAAATGAAAGACTGTTGATGATGTCTTTAATCATAATGGGGCCTGGTAATTTTGGACTTTGTATATCAGAATAGAGTTCAAGTTAATATTCTCAGAGAGGCAATGAATACATGAGAAATATGGTCTTTCTTTCTAGTCCCTAACAGAAGGCTTTCTGCAGCATTTTGGATTGACTGAACACTCTGCAGGTAACTTTCAAAGCCACCTTATAATCCAACCAAAGATAAAATAAAATGTAGCTGATGATTCTATACGTTTTAGCTATTTATTCAGCAATTTAATACAGACCCTAAACCATACTAAATGGAAAAGAATGAATCCTGACCTGAGAGTTTCCAGTGTACAGTGTGGACTCTTCACTGCAGCAGACAGGAGCTTCACTCCAGAATCCTGCAGGTCATTGTCACTTAAGTCCAGGTCTCTGAGACTAGAGGACTGAGAGCTGAGAACTGAGGACAGAGCTTCACAACTTCGCTCTAAGTGGTTACAGGCACTCAGTCTACAAAATAAGCAACACAAGGAAAAAAACTAAAACACTGAAGTTAAAATGTATTCATGGTGAAGGACAGTTTCAAGAAAAGTTTTAAGACTAATCCTAAAAGTAGAAAGTGTGTGTGTCTCCTGAATCCAAACTGGAAGCAGGTTCCACAGAAGAGAGGCCTGAAAGCTGAAGGTTCTCCCTCCCATTCTACTTTCTAGATTAAGTATACTTTTATTAGCTAAACGTTTTAATTAGTAACTATGTTACTTAAGAAAAATAAAATATAATTTTAGCTGACCTCAGAGTTTTCAGTGTGCAATGTGGACTCTGCAGTGCATCAGACAGAAGCTTTACGCCTGAATCCTGTAGGTTGTTGTTACTCAGGTCCAGCTCTGTCAAACTAGAAGACTGGGAGCTGAGAAGCGAGGACAGAGCTTCATAGCTTCTCTTCGAAAGGAAACAACCATTCAGTCTGGAAAAAGAAAGAAATATTTGTGTTTATAAGCAATCACTTTTGATGTTCAACCTAAATAAAAAAAACAAACAAACAAAACATGTCAGTGTGCACTACATTTCATGATTAACAACACAACTTGAAATATGAGTTGGGCATCAATAAAATAATTTTAAATTACTCAGTAAATCACAATTATACCTCTAAATACAATCCACTGAGGAACTGGTACATCTAGTGATAACAGTTCAGTATCTGCTGCCACTAGCATTCAATAATGAAGCATATGTATAAATTAGATAAGGAAGCTCTGTAGTTGTAATGGTCTGGGTGACTTCCGGTGAATCCACCTCTGGGTGGAGTTGCTGGGTTATTACTGACCAGCTGCACCTGGACGTAATTTGGCTGTCCGTTTTAAAGACCAGAATTCACAATCACCCTTCGCTAGAACGTCTGCTAACCACAGTTAGCGTAGGCTATTATAGCACATGTGTGATCTTTCTAGTGTTGCTCGTACTTACCTGTGCGTCTCTTCCGCTCGCAGTTATCCTCCGAGACATCATAACCAAATCTGCCTTAACTACCTTACCGCATCGCACCTGCCTGCCTCCCCACCCGACTCACTGGATCATCGTGGATCGTCTCTGGACTTTTCTCTCTGCTGACCCGGACCATTACCCCCTCCACGCTTTGCCCCCACATGTGGAAAGTTAGACTGCTCGTAATCTGTTGTTTCACTCTGGACCAGCGTCAAAAACTTCTTTTGAAATCTGCCTCCTTCTGTTATAGTGACTCTGAACTTCCTGGCTCCGGAACCCCAGTGTAGCCTCTCCCTTACCTCCCCACTCCGTGGGTTCCTGTGTGGGCATTTACCGTCAGCGTCGGGTGGGACTCACGGACTTCAGTGATAGTTTGGAATGTTTAATGCTTTATGGTTTTTGTATGTTATTGTTCACCATCACTCATTGTAAAGCTCTTATAAATCATTATAGTTCTTTGTAGTCACAGGTTATCACTGTGAAATCAAAGTACTGCTCTTGTTTATTTTGGTGTAGTCATAGTTCATGGTAATCACAGTTAAACTCAGTGAGTCTGAGCCCTTAGTTCATAGTGATCGTTTGTTATTATTAAGTCAAGTTTTAGTTTAAACTTCAAGCACATCGCATGTAGGTTTAGTTACATAGTGACTTCTTTCACTCTTTGTAAATAAATTGTTGCTTTCACTCATTCTCCGTGCTTCCATGTGTTGTCTGCACTTGAGTCCATACTTCTGGTGGCCTCTGGGCCGTTATAGTAGTCACACATCTGTCTGCTTCCCAGGTGTTTAATGGCTAATCTAAACTTTATGTAATTTCCATGGTCACATGCTTTCAAACTCATTGGAGTCAAATCTCCAAATACCTTAAATGAATTCTGTATCAATAAATGTTCAGTTAGTTATAATTCCTTCTTGATCCTTGTTGATCTGTTGGTAATTTTTCTGATTCTATAATCTGTGATTATTGTTGTTAGATACAGCTCAAAATATTATTTTTCTGCCCCACGCCAGAGGAGGAGATCCCGTTTTATTGGTTATAACACGGGGTGAGAAATATAAGTCCAGACATGTGTGGTATCCACAGAAACCTCTAAATCCCAGCTAAAATGTCATATAAACCATTTCTACATCCAGAAAAAAAAACACACCAAAAACAAGCCATGGTTAAACGAGTAGTTACGTAAATGAGCAGCAGACAACTAAACAAACAAAACCGGACAAGAAATTCTTTAAACTTCATGTAACCGGCTAAAGAAAGGCCAGTTAGCTTCCAGAGCTATTACTGACTCCAAGCACCAAGTTTCCGCACACTCTGACCAAAATTCACTGAATGAGCCACAAAAGAAGACCACAAAAACACATAGCGGTGCAAATGTGCTAAGAAAGAAATTGGCTTGCTATCCCGATTTCCTCCGTTATTTTTGCTGGTGTGGGGATCATATCATTTTATATCATTTTTTATATCATGTTGATTCTTTTTATCTTTTTATTAAGCTTTGAGCAGTGGCATTTGATTAAACATGTATTCCATTTATTAAACATACAGTTTTAATCATGTTATTAGACACATTGCATTTGTGCTCATAATAGAGTTAAGCATACAGTCGAATGAAGGTTGAAAGCTTCGTTCAGCGTTATGTCTGAACTGATATATTGATGAAATGACTTGAATGCTGTGAATGAATGCCTAACAAGCTTACATACACATAAACATGAAGCATAATTTCTAGGGTAAAGGTGAAAGACATCTTGCTTTGTCTCTGCTTGGTAACTAGTGATCCGGGGTCTACAGGATCTGGAGGAGCCAGACAACCATATAGGAAAAAATGCTGTTAAACATGGAAACTTGAACTATCATTAATTATAACCTATATATGTGATGTTTTGTCTAACGCGAGAAGGGGCGTTAACCCTGACATAATAAAACCATGCTGAAAGTATGTTTTGACGGAAGATCAGTGTTGGCGATATAAAGATGTATATCTTTCCACACATGTGTTTAATAAAATCATTGTTTTGACTTGGACCAGAGGTTTGTCTCTCACCTCAATCACCAATCGGGACAATGGTAGCCGGTAGCCACGTGATTATCAGTCGTTACCACGCCTACCTTGCCGCATCAGAGCCATTTTCCTTTAACAACCTCCATTTTAGACTCACCTACAGACACGTGACTGGACAAAAGCCACATGCAGTAAATTTGGGCCCACGTGGGTTTTGGCATTGCAACGTTTGATTGGTTGATTGGTGTCATCATTAATGTGATTCTATTGGCTCAAATGATTAAAAAGAGGTGTCAATCATGCAAATTGATCAAAAGAAACCAAAGTTACAGCCCCTCAGATTTTAAAGGGCCAGAGACCATATTAAATGCTCCATGCGCACAGCAGAAAAGGGCCATTGCCATGTAAATGTGTGATTAATTCTTCAAAGAAATATATATATTTTTAAAAAAAGCATTTTTAGGCCTGTTAATAAAATTAATAAATTTCTGCTCCCAAATACCTAAAAAAATCAACTGGCATGGTGTCCAATTGTGTGCCAAAATTGGACGTTTTTGTACGTCTGGATATTCATGTATTGACAGGGCTGTGATTTTTCACTGTTTAACTTTAGTAACATAAGTCTTTGCACAGATGATGTTTATATGTTGGGTACTGAATTTCTGGAATGAAAAGTGAACTAAAGCATATTTTTAAAAGGGTTATATGCTAAAATTTAAAAAAAGAAAAATAAATTAGGCGAGGATAAAATCTACTTACTTTTTTTCTGTGTTCCAGTCTCAGTAACTTTGACACAGTAATAACTGCTTTGATATTTACACCACTGATGAAATTTCACAAGTGTTAGCTTTATTTTGGTACCAAGATTGTAAGGACAGTTTGTAATTGAAGAGAATTAAATTTGGGTATTACATTTTCGAGCAGGAAGCTCAGAAACCCCCTTTTGGCTTAAGAGGTTAAATAGTGAACCTAACTATGGTCCACTTATACACCAAGGCAAATAATAAACAATAATAAAATTTTGAAAATGACAGAAGGAGTGCAGTATTATCTCAGTGAAGTGGGCAAAAAGGCTCATATGTATCAGTTTTGTAATTTGACCACAAAACTGGTGTTTCAATGACATATGATAGCAGCTGTATCTCTACACTTCATGTGTCGCTAAGAAAGAGATGTCTGAGAGAACTGTTTATGGGCAGGGAGTAAGGAGTAACTAAGTAATCAGTAACCAAGTTTCTTACCAATGCATGATTGGGAATTCAGATATCCATCTTAATGTCCGCAGGACAAATAGACTGATGTGTGTAACGAGGAGAAAACAAAATAAAAGACAGAGCCTCAGAGGAAGAGATGCCGCAATTTTTGGAGACCTTATAACTTTGTTTTTGTTCGTTCTCACATTACCTCACTGAGTGAATTACTTCATTGTAGAAGTAAGGAAAAGTAAACCCACCGGGAACGAGTCCGACTTATTGCCAGCAATACGAACCAAGCTCTTGCAACGGTTGTATAGGGATCGAATGGCCCGTAGCAATGGGCCAGACACCCCATACTCCCGCAACTACTCCCACAGGACACCCCGAGGGACACGGTCGAATGCCTTCTCCAAGTCCACAAAACACATGTAGACTGGTTGGGCAAACTCCCATGCACCCTTAAGTATCCTTGAGAGGCTAAAGAGCTGGTCCAGTGTTCCGCGACCAGGACGAAAACCGCATAGTTCATCCTGTATTCGAGGTTCAACTAGCGGACGAACTCTCCTTTCCAGCACCCTGGCATAGACTTTCCCAGGGAGGCTGAGGAGTGTGATCCCCCTGTAGTTGGAACACACCCTCCGGTC